TAACCTAATCCTACGTTGCTTTTTCTCTGGTAATATCTCACTACTAACCAGAGCATACAAAACATTTGCTAGACCAATACTCGAATACAGTTCATCAGTCTGGAATCCTTATCACGTATGTGATATTAACACAATTGAGAAAGTCCAGAAGTATTTCACAAGAAGAGTTCTCCACTCTTCTACCCGTTGTAGAATACCTTATGCCACCAGACTCGAAATTCTAAAACTAGAAAACCTCGAATTACGCCGTCTTCGGTCCGACTTAAGCATGGTATATAAAATCATACATTGCAATGTCCTACCTGTCAATGAATACTTCAGCTTTAACCATAACAACACAAGAGCACACAACAGATACAAACTCAAAGTAAACCGCACCAAACTTGATTGCAGGAAATACGACTTCAGCAATAGAGTGGTCAATGTCTGGAATACTCTACCCGGCTCTGTGGTTTCTTCCCCAAACCCCAAAAACTTTAACCTTAGACTGTCTACTATTGACCTCACCCCTTTCCTAAGAGGTCTGTAGGGGGCGTGCATAAGCGCACCAATGTGCCTACCGTCCCTGTCCTATTGTTTCTCTTATTCTTTTATTTTTCTTATATGTACCCATTTCATATATTCACAACTATGTATACACTTGTACTTATTATCTTGTAAACAATTGACAAATCAAATAAATAAATAAATAAATAAAACCAGGATGATTAGGGGACTGGAGGCTAAAACATACAATGAACGGTTGCAGGAACTAGGCATGGCTAGTCTAGTGAAGAGAAGGACCGGGGAGACAGGAGAGCAGTCTTCCAATATTTGAAGGGCTGCCACAGAGACGAGGGGGTCAACCTATTTTCTAAAGCACCTGAAGGCCAGACAAAGAATAATGGGTGGAAACTGAACAAGGAGAGATTCAATCTAGAAATAAGGAGAAATTTTCTGACAATGAGAATAATCAACCAATGGGACAGCTTTCTTCAAAAGTTGTGGGAGCTTCATCACTGGAAACTTTCAAGAAGACTACCATTTGTCTCCTGCTTGGATGGCGGGGGTGGGTGGGTGGGTTGGATTAGATGACCTACAAGGTCCCTTCCAACTCTATTAATCTGTAATCTAATCTGTGATGGCCAAATAAAACAGACCATGAATGGTCAGGAGACTACAGTGATGGCTGCATGTTGATCTTCACACTCAACTTTTTATTACCAGGGAGCTGTGTGAGTGATCTCATGTGCCATCCTTGATTTCAACGTTGGTCTTAGTGAGGACACTGGTGGCTTGATCTAAAAATATTCTGTTTGGAGAACAAAAATTGCAGTGTAGAATTTTTTTTTGACTTCCAGTTTGAAGGGCTTTGGCGACAGACAGAAATTTGCGATCGTGCGTGGTTTCTGCCTGGGCTCGCCGCCGGAGCGCCCCGAGCCGGCTGGTTTTGGGGCTAAGCCACCCTGTAGAGGTGGTGAAGAGGGGGGAGACTGCCAGCAGGGTCGAGGAGACCTGCATCTCTCCTCCTCAGCTGGCCATTACTCCCTTTCCCGAAGGCGGTAGGAGCGGTGGTCAGAAATGGCCACCTCAAAGATGAACTCAACCGGAAAAGAACGTGCAGGAGGAAGATAAGAAGTGAAAGTTTTGGCTGACCAGGTTAAGTTGAAAAAGCAACAACTAAGGTATCCTGGAATTTAAACTTTACAAAAAACAACATTGCTCCCAAAGAAGAGTCGGAAGCAGTGAAAGAAAGTGAAAAGGGAAAGGTTTGGCTTTTTTTCCCTTCTCTCTCCTTCCCTATATTGACAACTAAGAGACTTAAATAAGAAATCGGAAAAATCCGCTTTGGCATCAATAGGCAATTAAGCTGAAAATAAAACAAAATGCCAAGGGGATAATAAAGATTTCTGGACATTAAAAACTTTTGCTTTTATAAGCAGGAAGGGAGAGAAAAAGAATAAGGGCAGGATCTGGAAGAGGGAGGAGACTGCCTGGACTTTAAAAGAATCTAAAGTAAAACTTCAATAAGACTTCTAAAAGATACATTTTAACTGAAACTTTGCAACTAAATAGTAACCCCAGGAAGAGAAAGTGGAAAAAAAAGAATAGCAAAAAAGAAACAGCTTGCGTGTATTTAGATTATTTGGTGACTTTTGGATTTTTGATTATTATATTTGAATGACTAAAATCAATCGGGTGGTTGTTTAAAAAATTTATACAATGGCATCACTTCTGGATGAATTGAAAATAGAACTTAAAAAGTACAAAGAAGATGCACAAGAAGGGAAGCTTCGTTTTTCAATTTTTAGAAATGGAGATCTGGAACTATGTGAAACAACAAGAAAAGACTGCAAAACAAGAAGACTGGGACAAAGAAGAAGCCATCTTTAATGAACGAGTAACTCTATGTGGGGAAGAAAAAGGAAAGGGGGGAAAGAGAATGGAGAATTTAAGACTTAAAAAAACAACCAAAGAAAAGAAAAATAATTTGAAAAATAAGTATAATACTGGAAAGCAACAGAAAAGGGGAATACAGAAGAGGGAAATAGAAGTAGAGAGACAAAGGGGTAAAAAGGGGAGAGAGAAGAAGAGAGGGAAGAAGGAAAGGAAAAGAAGTTACAAAGGTTTGGAGCAAGATATAAAGAAACAGGACCTATTTAGAGATAATGGGTGAAAATCTAACTGAAAAAGGGATTCTGTAAAGGTACATAAGATTGTATTGTTATATTTGTAATAGAAATAACTTTAGAAAATTGGAAACAGCATATGATTAGAATGAGGGATAAAATAGTTAGTGTAATTTAGTGAAATGTTTGTGAATAAAATAAATGAAATAAAATAAATGAGAAAATTGAATTAGGAAGGAACGGGAACATTTTAATTAGTCAATGTTTTATAAAATATAAGTGAAGGGGGGGAAATTAACTATGGAAAGTTTATAATTGTTCCCATAGAAGTATGATAATCAATTGAAAAGCAACGTGAAAAATGCTAAGACTTTAATGAATATTATTATTAATGATAGAATTGAATTGGAATGGAATGTTGTTTTAATTATATACATTTATAATTTTTTTTCAAGAATACAGTGTATATTTTAAGAATGTACCAAGCAGAATCCGAATGGAAGTTATGTATTATATTGAGTGTTACAACTTTAGGGAAAAGATATAAAGGCGTCATACTCCAATCAGTAACTACAGGAGAAATTTTGTTTAATGAGAAAAGATAATAGACAATTGAAACAGGACAGACAAAAAATATAAATATAATGATTTGAATTGAGATGAAATAAATAAAATAAAATTGAGAAAATTAAAAGAGGGGAGAAGCTATATAGAAAATGTAAAATAGTAATAACATATGGAATAGAATATAAAAATGAGCATGAACCTGAATTTGCGTCTGTACGAAGAAATGTAACCCGGGATTATGGTGCTTCCAAAAAAGATGTTTTATTTGTATTTCTTTTCTTTTTGTGAAAACTCAAATAAAATTTACAAAAAAAAAAAAGAAGAAAGGGTTTTTTTCCCCCATCATTAACAGACAAGATAGTTATGTTTTAAAGTTGCTTTTGATAGTGAGGCAGCATATAATTGCACTTAGATCAGCATTTCTTTCGCCACAATTGGGCCAATGTGGTCAGTGATTTTCCACTCTCTTTGAAAAATAACACAAAAGGAAATCCCTTTTTGACGGTCTTATGAGAATTCTGGTATCTAATTTAAATAAGTACTGCCCACATTGAGTTAATCTTTCAGCCGAAGCCTCTTTGTATGCTGGAACCGATTCTGAAATTAATAATTGTCTTTCTTTAGTATTCACTGTGGGTTTATGATTATGAATCTACAGAAAGCCTATATTTAGGATCTTACTCTTTTCAGAAAAGAGCAAATTTCATTAGGGTTTTTTTTTAATCAGTTTCTTCTCTGCTCCAGGTTCATAAGAAAGGCTAACTCAGAAGGCTAGGAAATTTTCTAAATAAGAACCCTATTGGTACTGCCTTATAAAGACATTATAAAGACCACACCTGGAATACTGCATCCAGTTCTGAGACTTTGGAAAAAGTGCAAAGTGCAGAGAAGAGCAACTAAGATGATTAGAGGCCTGAAGTCTAAAACATATGAAGAACCATTGCTGTGTTTGGGTTTGGCTAGTCCAGAGAAAAGAAGGACTAGGGGGGACATAATAGCAGTATTCCAGTATTTGAGGGGCTGCCACAAAGAAGAAGGCGGGTAAAAATATTCTCCAAACACCAGAAAGCAAGACAAGTAATAATGGAAGGAAACTAATCAAGGAGAGAAGTAACCTGGAATTAAGGTGGGGGGGGGGGGGGAAACCCGGCAATGAGAAAAATTAACTAGTGGAATGGCTTGCGTTCAGAAGTTCATCACTGAAGGTTTTTAAGAAGAGACTGGACAGTCACTTGTCTGAAATGGTATAGTATCCCCTGCTTGAGTGGACTAGAAGATCTCCAAGGTCCCTAGTTTTTGGAGAGGAAAATAAGGGGGGGTGGAATTCTGCTTCTGCCTACCAGCATCCATCGGTATTCGTCTGGCTAGTGTCCTGTCAGTATGTGAGAGTTGAGGGCAAAATATACAAAATAGTAATGCTCTGATGGTCATTTAGAAAAATCCTTTCTTAGTGAGCACCTGGAAGCCAAGAGGAATATATGTGCCAAATCTCAAGTTTGTAGGCTTTACGGTTCTGGAGATTTTGTGATGATATGGTAATATATATATTATGCGGTAATATCATGTGATATGTGGATACACACACACACACACACAGAAACACCCACACACACCATAACCAACCATTGGTTCACTTAATGACCACAGCATTCGCTTAATGATCAACACAAAAACGTTTGTAAAATCGGGGTGGGATTTACGACCGTCCTGACTTATGACTGTGATGGGTAGGTTCTATTATGGTCGTATGTCGGGACTGCTTGTACTTGATGTATTCTTGTTTCTCTACCCTGAATAAAGGCTATCCCCTCTTCTTTTTTACAGGCCCCTCACAATCTTTGGGATACAATATCGATCCTTCTCCAGCCATTCTCTTCTCATCGAACCACAGCAAGCACTTTGGCTATCAGGTTCTCCAATTTGGAAAAGGCTCTGAAGCAAGGTAGCCGCCTTTCTTGTTCCCACACTTGACGTGCCACAGTCCTCCATGTATTTGTTTAGTGACTGTTCGAATTTGCAACGGTGCTGAAAAAGTAACGTACAAATGGGTCCTTGCACTTATGACTGTCCGAAGGTCCCTGTTCAGGTAGTTCATTTAGTGACTGTTGAAAGTTACACTGGCACTGAAAAAAGGGAGTTATGACCATTTGCCACACTTACAATCATTTCAGCATCCCCATGGACATGTGATCGAAATCCAGATGCTTGTCAAGTGACTCCTATTTATGACGGTTACGTTATCCCAGGGTCATGTGATCCCTTATGACAAGCACAGTTAATGGGGAAGCTAAATTCACTCAACAACGGTGTTACTGATCCTGTTGTGACTTACCTAACAATGGTGGCAGGAAAATGAAGCAAAACTCACTTAACAAATGTCTCACTTAGCAACAGAAATTTGGGACACAGTTGTGGTCGTAAGTTGAGGATGACCCATAGTTACCAGATCACATTTTGGGTGCCTGGAAAACTGACAGATGATTATGAGGCTGGCAGCATCCAAGAGTCGCACTCTTGCCCTCTGCAGCCTTCCCAGATGGTTTTCAAGAAGTAAAATCAACGGGGTATCCAGCAGAAAGTCACAAGTCACGGTCACGTGACATCTCGCTTAATGAGCATGGAAAAAAAGATTCTAAAATTGAGTGTTGTCATGTGATACCTCACTTAACAACCATGCCACTTAACAAATACTTTTCCTGTCCTAATTATGGTCGTAAATTGAGGACTAACTGTATTTTGGGGGAGAAATTGGATTGCCTGTTGGATGAATCTTTATGGTTGGGATTCCTCTAATTAAGAGCCGTGGTGGTGCAGTGGTTAGAATGCAGCACTGCAGGCTACTTCTGCTGACTGCCGATTGCCAGCAGTTCAGAGTTTGATCCTGACCGGCTCAGGGGTTGACTCGGTCTACCATCCTTCCAAGGTGGGTAAAGTGAGGATCCAGATTGTTGGGGACAATATGCTGATTCTGTAAACCGCTTAGAGAGGGCTGTAAAGCAATATGAAGCAATATATAAGTTTAAGTAATATTGCTAATTATAGGGTTGAAGTGGGGGAAGTAGAACTGGCATCCTTTTTCTTAGTCAGGTTTTTAATGCTTTAATAACTGTTAGACTCATCATGCAAAGAAGGGAAACTCCCATCAAGGTGTGTTTGCAACTTAACCCAAGACACTAAGAATACAAGAGAAAAGACAACATATGTAGAGTGTTAATTACGGGGGTGAGAATGTTCTACATCAGAAGTAGAGATGGTTGAAGATAAGAAAAAAAATTGCAGTAAAATCCCTATAATTCAGTATATATGAGCCCTGGCTTTATAAGAAAAGTATTTGCTTGTCTTTCCTGATAAGCTTACAAATCAATTAAAAAAATTCTCTAATGCTTCGCCACAAAAAAATAAGGTGAAGTTGTGATTCGTCTGCATCTTGTAAGCTGACTGACAACCAATGCAGCAATTTCAAAATATCTGTTATTTCAGCTCACAGTTTTGCTTTGCTCTACTCCATGTACTCCATTTTGTACAGTTGTAACTTCTGGATCATCTCCAAAGAGTATGTTACAGTACTGTCAAATGTCCGACTAATGGACCCAATAAAAGCAGGCATCTTCAGGAACTTTAAAATCCCCAAAGCAAAACTTTACTGAGTACATCATTTTGGCACAGAAGAAAGCAAAACCAACTCTAAATTTTCCCGCATAATATAGTTAAAGATGGGTTTCATCTCCACCTGCCATGGAATGGATCACGTTCTCCAATTAAGAATCAGCCTTTTGTTTTGATAACAGTCCACATCTTGGCAGATACCTGCAGAAGTGTCCTTGGCTCTCATAGTTGAAGATTGTAGCCTCTACATTCCATCTCACCTTTCCCTGCCTCCAGTTCTTTGACAAGTTGAAAAGCAATAATAGTCACAGGGACCTTAAGCTTTTTTCAGTCTTGACAAGTACAGTCCTCAACTTATAACCATTCAGCGAATGTTATAGTGACACTGAAAAAAGTGACATATGACTGGTCCTCAATCTTACGATCATTGTAGTACCCCCCCCCCCAAAATTCGGATTCTTGGCAATTAACCTGGTTGCAGCCTCATTGGATCATGTAATTGTCAACTGCAACCTTCTCAGCCAATTCTGACAAGCAAAGTCAATGGAAGCCAAACTCATTTAAGGGAAAGGTGGGAAGCCAAACTCATTTAATGACCACATGATTCACTTAACAGTGATATATTTAACAATTGGAGCAAAAAAAAGGTTGTAAAATCAGTCACAGCTCACTTAACAATTGCTTCGCTTAGCAATGGAAGTTCTAGTTCTAATTGTGGTCATAAGTCAGGGATTGCCTGTAGTCCACAGTCCATCCAAGTGACTATGGGGACATATAGGTTATCATCCCAAAGGCATCCTGGTCCTTGTAACCCTATCTGACATACCATCTGCAGCTGGGTTGTCCTGGTTGCAGTTTCCATCAGCTGTTTAAGCCCAGAAGAATTCTTCAGTTATGAACAGAGCAAGACTCCATCAAAAGTACAAGTAGTCCTTGATTTACAAGCATTTGTTTAGTGACTGAAGTTACAACAACCCTGAAAAACTGACTTATGACCAGTTTTCACACTTATGACCATTGCAGCATCCTCACGGTCACATGATCAAAATTCAGGCGCTTGGCAACTGGCATGTTTTGTGATGGTTCTCTGTCCCAGGGTCACGTGAACAGCATTTGTGTTCTTCCCAGCCAGCTTCCAACAAGCAAAGTCAATAGGGGAAGCGAGATTTGCTTAATGACTGAATGATTCACCTAACAACTGCAGTGATTCACTTAACAACCGTGGTGAGAAAAGCCATGAAATGGGGGCAAAATTCACTTAACAAATGTCTCCCTTAGCAACAGAAATTTGGGGACTCGACTGTAGTTGTAAATCGAGGACTCCCTGTAATTCCCAGAGCTGCTTTTACTAATTTGTCCAGATGTCTATTGACAATTAACTATATTGATTGAGCGAGATTTCACTGGAACTGGATTTGTCCATTCACATACTCACAGCCTGCAAGCCCTAGTTGGCTGGAATTCATGCTTGCTACTTTCCCTAGCTTTGAGTTTGAACCCTGTTGTTCTGTTTCAGGGCATGTTTACTCTGTATTTATTTGTAACTAGGAGGACAGTGGTTATTTCCAATCAGGTTCCCTTTTTGTTTTTGTATCGCCTACCTTCTACCACGCTAGTTTTGAGGAAGTGAGAGTAAAGGCTAATAGTGGAATAGGGAAGGAAGTAAAATGGATACCTATTATCTTAAAGGAAGGGTTCCCCTTTAGAGTAATACGATCGGCAGGAATTTAGATGGTGCAACTTCCCCACTGAAGGACGTTGTCATAATGCACCGGCTTCTGGACTCTTTCACCAAGTAGAGCCAAGTGCCGCCTTCCGGTACAAGAATCGGTAGGAAACAAGGCTGGGCTTAAAGAAGTGTTGACTGCATTTCCAAACTTTTGGGATCAGATCTTGGGCGTCAGCCCATTAGATAAGCCAGAACACGAAGGCAAAAACTATATTCAATAGTTTTTTTTAACTATTTAACAATCTTAAATAGTTTTAACATTGGCTGTAAAAAAAGAGAGAGAGAATCTTGCAGGTCTGACTGTGCCACATTTCTTCCTCCACCTTATACAGGTAGTCCTCAAGTTACGACCAGAATTGAGCCCAAACTTTCTGTCGCTGCGGTTGTTAGATTAGTGACATGGTTGTTAAGTGAATCTGGCTTCCCCATTGACTTTCCCTGTCAGAAAGACACAAAAGACACGTGACCTTGGGAGGCTGCAGATGTCATAAATATGAGTCTGTTGCCAAGCGTCTGAACTTTGATCATGTGATCATGGAGATGCTACAACAGTCGTAAGTGCGAAAAACATAAGTCACTTTTTTTCATTGTAACTTTGATCATCAAGTGAACTGTTGTAAGTCGAGGACTACCTGTACTAAGGGGCACAGATGGAAAGCCCATGTCCGCCTAACTTTCTTTCCATTGAGAAGAGACCCAGGGAGAGCTATTCTCCAGCTGCTCTCTGCAGGAAAGTGAGTCGTCTTCTTCACAACTCCTGCCACCCATGAGAAGGGAGAAAGGCATTTTTATCACGGTGGGAGGATCCAGGCTCCCTCACTAAAGCCTAAAGATGAACAACCTTGAAAATCATTGGTCAGGAATCAGGAAGAAGATGCTCACAGTAAAATGTCGTTTTCGATGTGGAACAAGAAAAGACGGCCATTGCTTTGGGCCGAGGTTGGGTCAAGGATAACATCAAATGGTTATGTGTTGGTCATGGGAAGGAGCAGAGGTGGTATTCAGCAGGTTCTGACCAGTTCTGGGGAACCGGTAGCGGAAATTTTTGAGTAGTTCGGAGAACCGGCAAATACCACCTCAGACTGGCCCCGCCCCCATCTGTTCTCTGCCTCCCCAGTCCCAGCTGATTGGCTGGGTCTTCTTTGGTTGCCCTTCACAGGAGAACGGAGCTGGAAAGTAGGTTAGTGGGGTGGGGAGGGAATGGAGATTTTGCAGGATCTTTCCCCTGCCACGCCTTCCAAGCCACGCCCACCAAGCTACACCCACAGAACTGGTAATAAAAAATTTTTTTGAATCCCACTACTGTGAAGGAGCCCTTTTGTTGACAAGATAGCTCTCTGCAGGAAGTCAAAGCTGATGTTTGGGACATTTTAACAGAATAACAGAGTTGGAAGGAACCTTTGAGGTCTTCTAGTCCAACCCTCTGCTTGAGCAGGAGACCCTACATCATTCTGGACAAATAGCTGTCCAGCCTCTTCTTAAAAACCTTCAGTGATAGAGCACCCACAACTTCTGGAGGTAATCTGTTCCACTGATTTCAATTAATTGATTTTTGTTGATTGATTTTGTTACAGGGTCTTTGTCCACTCCAAACTCAAGGCTGTGCCTTGGTGTTATGAAGCCATCATCTGTGTACAGCAGCAGCTGAGCTGATTTTTCTGCTGGCTCATTTGTTGTATCCAGAAACTAAAAATGGAGAAACAAAAACAGTTCTGTTTGCAGTGACAAAGTTGCATTGCTCCATTCATTGCTTTCAGTGGGAATTTTAATATAGGGAATGACAGTTTGGTAGTCTGGCAATTTCATCCTATTGCAAACATTCAGGTTTTTTTTTTATACAAATGACTAGATAAATCCACACAATCTGTCATGAAAACATGGAAACAGGCAGGGTGGGGTTAGCTAATTATTTTACTTCTTTCCATGGAGCAGGACAAATGAGAATGTTCTTCCAGAACCTGCAGGAACTTATTTATAAATCGAATTAGAATTTACTTTTTATAACATTTGGTAAAACAGCAGGGATTGAATCATGGTCAATCATTCCCTGCCTATTCTCTCTCCTCCAAGAAATACAGGAGCAAGTTGGTTTTCCAACAGTTTTTTTTTTAAATTCTACTTTTATTTTATTCAAAAAAGTTAAAATATAAAACACCACATTTTAAAAGAAACAAAGAAGAAAGACAAAAAGAAAAGAAACAAGACATTAAAAAGAAAAAAGTTATTAAAAAAAAGACTAACACATATATACATATAGTTCCCCTTAGTTGAATGCTAATTAATATATTACAATATTAGTTTTTCCTACCCCTTGCTAAACATGCCCAAAGAATATTAAGCTACTAAACAACTAGTTCTATAGTAATTGCAGGTTGCCATTCTATATATTTTATTGATAACAAAATAGTTAACAAGAAGAACAATAATAATAAAAGAAGACAAGTTTAAAATCCCAAAATTGATTTTCCAACCGTTTTTTTGAGGAGTGGGGAACAGTAGCATGCAGCATTGTAGTTGGAGATATTAGGAAAAACATCAACTTGTTATTGTTAGTATTATCCACCCACTCCTCTATTTATTCTCTTGCAGGGTCATTGTGGGAGCCCCCGGAGAGCAGAACTCTACAGGCAAAGTATACCAGTGTAATTTGAAGAGCCAAGACTGTGAGGACATTCCACTTGAGGGTAAATGAAGGATTTTAAATTCTTCATGGCTGTGAGTAAAAGGCCCACTGAAGGGTACAATGGTGGAGAAAGGCCATAATTTTATAAAAAAAATAGAAATGCTATGGTGGCGCAGTAGTTACAATACTGTTCTGCAGGATGACTTTGCTTAAAGCCAGGAATTTGATCCTGACTCATGGTTGACTCAGCTTTGCATCCTTCTGAAGTTGGTAAAATGAGGCCCCAGATTGTTGGGGGCAATGTGTTACTCTGTAAAATATAAACCACTTAGAGCTGGAAAACTGTGAAGAGGTCTATAGCAATAGCAACAGCACTTAGACTTATGGACTACTTCACAGTGCTTCATAGCCCTCTCTAAGTACTTTACATATTGCCCCCAGCAATCTGGGTCTTCATTTTACCCACCTCGGAAGGATGGAAGGCTGAGTCAACCTTGAACCGGTGAGATTGAAACTGCCAAATTACAGGCAACCAGCAGTCAGCAGAAGTAGCCTGCAGTACTGCATTCTAACCACGGTGCTACTGCGGCTCCTATAAGTCTATAAAAGTCCAAGAGTTATGGCTAGCGCTAAAAGCTGCAATCATGATTGTAGGGTGCTTCTATGTATGTGTGAGGACAGCAGGGGAAGAGAAGGAGATGGTCAGAGGCTGGGTGAAATATTCTGAAATGGACCTAAAGGATTAATATCTATGGATACAGAATAGTCCTTGATATCCTTGATATATATATTTGTTTAGCGATTGTTTGAAGTTACAACAGCACTGAAAAAATTGACTTATGACATGTCCTTACATTTACAATTGTTGCAGCGTTTGTTCATGTAATCAAAATTTGGGTGCTTGACAGTCAGCATATATTTGTGATGGTTGCAATGTGCCAGGATCATGTGATCGCATTTGTGGCTTGCCAGCTGGCTTCCGACAAGCAAACTCAATGAGAGAAGCCGAATTTGCTTAACAGCCATGTGGTTCACTTATCAACAGGGTGATCCATTTAAGAACTGTAGCCAAAAATAAACTCATAAAACCACCGATAACTCACTTAAACTACCTCGCTTAGCAAGTTCTGTTCCCAATTGTGGTCATAAGCCGAGGACTACCTGTAAGGAAGAAATTTAGGTAATATTTCCAATTAACTAATCAATCTCTTTCTCTCACTCTCTTTTTGCAGAGAACTCTCCAGTACCCCATCTTGGCATGACCCTGGCAAGCAATATGCAGGGAAACAAAATGATTGTGAGTTTGGTCTGGAAGGAGGGATAAATTTAGGCTCGGGTTTAAACTGATCAGGTGCTCAAGAAGCACAACAACAGTCCAATAGTACATAAGAGAGAGAAGCTATGTAAAAACTCCCTACTGTCAAGCAAAAACACAACAATAATCCAGAATTCCAAAAAGCAGAAGTATAACATATCCCATGACAATGGCTATCTGGATAATTTAATCAAAAACTTTTATCCATGCATCCTGTTATGTCCGTCGTGGAAAAGAGACACGGAGCCAGTGACTTGGGTTCAGCTCTTTTATTAGTTCCCAAGATCGGCTCGGCTCCAAAGGCAAAGCGGCGGCTTTTATTCCTTGGCCGTGGCGGCCGCAGCCAATGGCACCACTTTGAATCTCCCGCGATTAGTTTCCACCAATCGCGGGAGATTCGCGGCGGGCCAATCAGTGCGGCTCGCTCGGCCAATCAGCTCGCCGTGCGTCTTGACCAATCACCGCGCGGCGTTTACAAGTATGTTAATGACTGTACAGAACACCCCTCCCCTCTTGGTATGGTCCTACGTGACGTAGTCCCGTAAGTAGGCGGGGCTTCGTATTTGTCTACTTGACCTGC